GATTTTTCACTCTTTCTATAGTTTTGTCCTTTCCAGAATGCCGTATAGTTAGAATTATGCAGCATGTGACATTTTCAGAGAGGCTTCTTTCATTTAGCAATAAGTGAAATATCCTTGTCTTTTTGTGGCTTGATAACAAATCCAAGTATCTTCATCTTTAGTAATCCCTAGTCTAAGTCATGGACCAATGAGCAAGATCATGATAAATGGAGAAAATATTAAAATTGTCAAAGATTTCATTTTATTTGGATCCACAGTCAATGCCCATGAAAGCAGCAGTCAATAAATCATACAGTGCACTGCATTGGACAAATCTGCTGCAAGAGATCTCTTTAAAGTGTTAAAAAGCAGAGATGTCACTTCAAGGACTAAGATGTGTCTGACCAAAGCCATGGTACTTTCAATTGCCTTATATATATGTGATAACCAGAAGGCTGGTGGTTCAAACCCACCAGCCACTCCTCGGAAGGAAGATGGGGCAATCTACTTCCGTAGTGATACTGCTTTGGAAGCCCAAGGAGGGGTCGCTATGAGTCGGGTCTGACTCGACGGCACATAACAACAACAACAACAAATATATATGTGAAAGCTGGATAATAAATAAGGAAGATCAAAGAAGCATTGATGTTTTTGAATTATGGTATTGGTGAAGAATATTAAATATACCATGGGCTTCCAGAATAACAAATAAGTCTGTATTGGAAGGAGTAAAGCCAGAATTCTCCTTAGAAATGAGGATGGTGAGACTTTGTCTCACAAGCTTAGTACAAGTCATCAGGAGAGACCAGTCCTTGGAGAAGGACATCACACTTAGTAGAGGGTCGGGGAAAAAGAAGACTCTCAGTGAGATGGATTGATACCATGGCTGCAACAATGGGCTCAAACATAACAACAATTATGAGGATGGTGTAGGATGAGAGTGTCTCAACCTGTTGTACATAGGGTGGCTATGAATCGTAAATGACTCAGCAGCACCTAACAACAGTCCACGTCATCCTGGGCTCCTACATCAAGAACTGTGTCACTTTAGTCCAGAGAGATTTATCATTGTGAAGATAGGGCAACCATTCTGCCATTAAGGTGGATATGTGAGATGTACTACCCCTAGGAACAAGAAGAGAAATCTTGCCACACAGAGGACACAGAAAGCCCTCCTTCCACCTGGTGAGAAGATGACAGGTGGGCAGAGCAAAGAAGTTAAATGCATGTCTTCTCACTTTCCCTTGCAGGATGTGGGGCCTCAGTAGAATGATCCAGATAGGTGTGAGGAATCCCAGGAACTATGTGGGTGTAGGTGGTCCACCAGCTGGGCATAGTTTAGGGAAGGTGTACTTGTGTTTGTTTGCTGCCACACTGAGAGTGAGGATGGAGTGATGATGCAGCCATGGTGCAGGGAGGTGGCTCAGACAAGACTGAAGCTGAGTGCCTGACCATCCAAGGCCTAGGAGGTGTATGATGAGTATCTGAAAGTTCAGTCATGCTCAGTGAGCAAATACAGAGTGCTGAGATGGCTAGTGGAGCAGCATAGGCTTTGGATCTGGATGAAGAGTCCATAATAAGGGAGATCTTGCTCCTGGAGGCCAAAGGCCAGGACCATGGATTTGCCAAAAAACAGATGGACTCTGCTATACCTCCGCAGTCACCAGTCCAGGAACAAATCTAGACCAAGTGCTCAATGCAAAGACCAGCCAGCATGGATTCGAGGGCCCTGTTTCTACTATGCTACAAAGTCACCTAAGGCAGGAGGGACTGAGCTGCTGTTAATTGGTTATATAAATTTTCTACACTTAGGAAGCACAAAGGCTTATAAGAAAGATCAAAGAAGCTGCCTTTTTCCAGCTCTGGTAGCATAGTGCCTAAGGTACCTGACTGCTAACCAGAAGGCTGATGGTTCAAACCCACCAGTCACTCCTCAGAAGGAAGGTTGGGCAATCTACTTCCGTAGTGATACTGCTTCGGAAACCTAAGGAGGGGTCGCCATGAGTCGGGGCTGACTCGACGGTACATAACAACAACAACATGTCTGAGACGTGTGGGCTAATTATTCACCTTGCTATAATATATTTCTTATACTGTTCACACAAGAAATGTCCTACTTCCTCTCCCTTCCTGTTAAAAGTAATTAATCTTTCAAAGCCCAACCCAAGTGCTGTCCCTTTGGTGACATTTTCTCCAATGTTTGCAGTCAGAATTAATCAAAACCTTTCTCTTTTATGAAATTTTCTCCAATGCCTTTGGTTAAAATTAATTGAGTTTCCTCTGGTCTCCTACAGTATCTTGAGGATGGATGCTTCTAGCATCACTTCTGTGGTGTCTTGAAACAGAGATAGATGTCTCCCTTAATAGATTTTAAGCTCTTGGAGAAAGGAACTATATACCTTATTCATCTCCATACTCCTGATGGCATCCCACTCAAATGCTTGGTCGCTATGAGTTGGGGCCGACTCGACGGCACATAACAACAACAACAACAAATAAATAAGATAGTTTCATCCTGTTGAGTTCAGCCAATAAATGAATCTTTGATGATGGAATTTCAGTATTAGCAAGCCTCTGGGAGAGGTTGGGGAGGAGTTGGAGAGCCCACGCAACACCCTGGGCCACCTCCATGAGGACCCTCTCCCACTTGGGTTGAGACTGAGGATTGAACCGTCTAATTACTATTCTGTGTTAGGATCTCTGATCCTCCTGCACTGAGTCAAGCCAAAGTCTGAATCCCTTCCAGTTCTTCTGCATTCCCCAAGACTAATATTCCCCCCACTACCCTAAGGTCTTCTCACTCAGAACCAGTGTGAGCTTTGCACTCCCTGGTTGTCCTCAGAAGACCCAAGTCCTCCTGGGTTGGATTCCTGACAATATCTCTACCCAGAAGGCTCAGCCCAGGGGCCACCTGACTCTTAATCCAGAAACATTGTTGATTGCAAGTGAGTAAAAGCTTTTGTTAATGTTTGACAAGCACAAGTTTTTGTTTTTCCTCATTCTAGGCTAGGTTCTCTAGAAAAGCAAAACCAGTAAAGCTTATATATATATAGAGAGAGAGAAGAGAGAGAGGGAGGAAGGGAGGGAGAGAGAAATTTAACTCAGGGAAACACTGTGCATAGTTGTAGGGGCTGGCAAATCCCAAGTTTGTGGATCAAAAGTGAAGCTGGAGGCGTTTCCTGACTCACGCAGCTGCAGGGGCTGATGAACTCAAGATCAGCGAGCAGTATAGCAGGTTTTTGGCTTCCATAGATGACAAATCCAAGATTGGCAGGTAATATTGCAGGTTCAGCTCCAAAAGCCAGCTGATGATGATAAGCTAGATGAGTATCCAGATCCAATAGAAAGTCGAGAATTTTCCAGGACATCCATATATATATACATATATTAGAAGCAGGCCACATGCCTAGAGGTGACTGCCTTACATCAGATCTCATCATGGAAACAGCCACACCACAGCTGCTTAAACCACTCAGAACTGTGTTGTTATGTGCCGTCGAGTGGGGCCCAACTCATAGCAACCCCTCCTTGAGTTTCCAAGGCAGTATCACTACGGAAGTAGATTGCCCAACCTGCTTTCCAAGAAGTGGCTGGTAGGTTTGAACCACCAGCCTTCTGGTTAGCAGTCAAGTGCCTTAGGCACTACACTACTGGAGCTTATATACATACATACATACATACATATGTACATATATATATATACATACATACACACACACACACACACACACATGATGAATCCAAGATTTAAGAAATACTTTACTGAAGCATAACATATATGTAGGAGCTCTGGTAGCATAGTGCTTAAGGCACTTGACGGCTCACCAGAAGGCTGGCGGTTCAAACCCACCAGCCACTCCTCAGAAGGAAGGTTGGGCAATCTACTTCCGTAGTGATACTGCCTCGGAAACCCAAGGAGGGGTCGCTATGAGTCGGGGCCGACTCAACGGCAAACAACAACAACAACAACATGTGTGTGTGTGTGTGTGTGTATAAGTACACAAATGATAAGTGTAAAGCTCAATAAATTCTTATAGAGTGCACCTACCAATGTGACATACCAATAAACGTTATCAATATAAGCCAGCTCAAGAACTGGAACAGGATCCCACAGTTGTTGAAATCTTGCAGTGTGCCAGATGAAACTGAGTGCTGAGCTTTTGACCCACAGGACCCTGTACCTGTGGCATAGGTATCAACAATGCTTCTCACCTGACTGTCATGAAGGGGTTTCAAAATCTCTTACAGTGTTATCTTAACTGCAATCTAAATTTGTACAAAGAAGATCTTGTCTTGCACAGTTGAAGGCTTCTGGAGAGCAGAGCCCTCAGTTGTACGCTAGTCACTCTGTAGTATAGTTTGAATGACCAGATCTGGACATGCAGGTATACCAACCCCAGGCCAGAAGCTCTAAAGCCTCCTTCTGTACTTTTCAGATGTCACATTAACACAAACGACCAGGGTCTCCACTCAAACACAAACACCAGTTGCCATCAAGAAGGTTCTGATTCATGGTAACTCCATGTGTGTCTGAGTAGAACTGTACTTGAAAGCATTTTCAAAGGCTAATTTTTTAGAAGTAGATCACCAGGTGTTTCTTCTGAGACATCTCTGATTGGACTGAACTTCCAGCCTTTTAGTTAGTAGCCACTCACACTAACCATTTGTACCACCTGTGGATAGTCAAGCACAAGAATAACATTATTTCCTCTATCCTACAGCCATGAGACAGTCCTGGGATGTAGAAAGTAGTAATCCAGCTCACGTATTCATCCAAGAAGCAGGCACTAAACATCTACCTTAGCCAGGAATGACAAGGGAGGCATAGTCATTACCCCTCACAGAGAAAGTTCAGGCACCCAAAAGATCAAAAATTGGCAAGAAAACCGCCATAGAGTTCAGACCCACTGCTTCATCCCTGCTCCGGCCCAGGCACTCCCCAGAGAAGGAGTTTGGGGCTGTCTCCTAGTCTGATGGCAGATAAGAATGCTCCTTAACCAGCTATCTTTGCTCTTTTGCAGGCCCTGCTATCCCAGTGGGTGTGGATGTGCAGGTGGAGAGCCTGGATAGCATCTCTGAGGTGGACATGGTATGTAAAGCATTTAGCTGGGCAGCTTCCAGGGAGTGACCATATGGCTGAGATCCTGTGGGAGCTTTGGGGTGTTGGTGGCACTTTGTTCTTGCAGGCTGTGCCTGTGTGGGTAGCGACAGGAGCTGGAGGTAATACAAATGGGGCTTGGAAGTTGGCCTGGGTGAACTAAAATCTAGAGCTGCGGGTTCTCAAATTCACGGGCAGAATAACTTGGGGAGTTGGTTAAGTGCAGATTCGTGGGCCCAACCCCAGATCTCCTGACTCAGAATCTCTGGGAGTGAGGACCAGGACTCTGCATTTTGAACACACTCCTCAAGTCATCAGGTGAGCCACACTTGGGGCAGCAGTAGAGGTAGACATTTTCAGATTGAAATCCTGCAGTCCTTTGATTCTCACTGCCTACCATGAACAGAGCTTGCCAGCATGTTTGTTGGCAGTGCCCACCATGCCAGAGTGGCACAGTGCTCACTTCTGTCCTACTACCACTTGCATACCCCCTCTGGGCCATCCTGCAGGGGCTTGCCCATGGATAGTAGCCCCAGCCCACCTACCTCTCAGCCCCATCTCTACTGTTCACTCCCTCTGGTGAGCTCCTCCTTTAGTTTCCAAACTTCATGATTCTTCTGTCTCAGAGACCCTCATACATGCTCTTGTCCAGGCTGTCCCCACAGCTATCTCTTTCTCATCCTTCAGGTCTCAGCTGAAATGAGGCCACCTGATCTAGAGAGTCTGTTTTTATCATTCTTTTTTTTTTTTTCATAGCTGACATCATCATTTATAAGTCTGCTATCTTTATAATTCTTCCATAATAGACTATAAGCATCATGAGTGCAGGAACATGTCTTTTACTGCCACCTCTATATCTCTAAGACCTAGCCCAGAGTGGGCCTCTCTCAAAATGTGTGTGGAATGGAAGTAGGGGAGGCTCTCCTTCCCCCCCTGCAATGTCATCAGGTGCGTTGGAACAGTGGCAGCCTTCCTGGCACCTACTGGACCTGGCACAGAGGAGCTGATATGCTGCTAATGCTGCATGCCTGAGGCATACATCGTTGCAGCACCTGGTAAAAGATGGTGTCTATGCGTGAAAAGTGCCAGCAGTGTCAGACTGCCTGTTCTGGTTACCTAGTGCCACTCTGACAAGAATATACCACAAATGGGATGGCCTTAACAAACAGGAGTTTATTCTCTCACAGTTTGGAGGCCTTAAGTCCAAGTTCAAAGTGCCAGACTCTAGGGGCTGGGTGAAAGTCCCCCAACCTTGGGGTCCAGCTCTGCCTCCTGCTCCTGGCCCACTGAAGCTAGAGGTGTTTCTTCACTCAGACAACTGCTGGCTGCTGAGGCTGAGAAGCCCAAGGTTGAGAAGTAAAGAGGTACAGTCCCAATGTTACCAAACCACATGGCAGGCCATTAACTTAAGTCCATTGTAAGTCTCAAGGTTGCCAGACCGTGGCAGACCACAATCCAAAGGCAGCTACTCAGCTGCTTGTGCTAGATCCCACCATGGAGTTGACTGGGGAATAACTACCACCAGCTGCCCAGCCACTCAACCAGGCCCAGCCAAGTTGACACACAAACTTAACTACCACACTACCCAATAAGTAAGGTAAGCATAGGCTTACTTGTGCTTACTTACGAATCTGTAATGAGCAATTTCATACTGATGTGTTGAAACCCACGTGAAATTGTTCACTATAGATTGGCCGATGAACACAAGTAAGCCTGTTCTTACCTTACTTACTGGGTAATCCACTCCTGGGTAGAGGTGTGACAAATGTTAGAGCACATACTCTCAACTCCTTGGGAGGACCCAACAGCTGGACATAGCTCCAGAAACAGCTGGGTCTGAGGCCAGCCTGGCTGTCCTAGCCTTGAGCCAACCCAGATGTCTGCTCTGGATGTAAAGACCCTACTATCCCATGACACTCAGGATCCCAGGGGAAGGGGTCCAGAATGACTTGCTCCCCCAAACCAACCACCAGCTGATAGGAAATCAGGCAGACCCCAGCAAAATAAAGTTGTAGGCAGGTGATATCCAAGCTGGTCATGCATAGCTGGTGTTTGTATCTCTGCAATGTGGCACTTGCCTAAGCAACGTTCCTCAGATCATGCACTCCAACTGTGTGTCCTGGAAGAGCTAAAGGTGACATTTGGCAAGGCCTCTCCCTATCCATATATTGGTCATTCTCCTTGTGTGTGGAAAGGGAGGTCACAGCAAGGGCTGGTGCACTGGAGGCCAGGATCAGTCTGGGGACAGTCATATGGCATTATTTCAGTGCCTATCCTCTTCTCCCTTCCTAGGGCTCCCTCTTGGCCCTCTGCCACTTTGTACTCTTTTTGTCCTTCCCCCACCTGCTTCCACAAGAGGATTTTTAGGTAGTTATTTGCTTATTTGCACCTTGTGTCTTAGCTCTGCTCATGGTATGAGGGTCAAACTCTTGGTTAAAGGCATCAATTATGCAGGTGGGGAGACACAAGATAAGCTTTCAAGTTGAGATCACAGTAAGTATGCAACTTCCCATCCATTCTTCCATTCATCTTTCCATTTTTCTATCCTGCATACATTTACTGAGCACCTACTATGTGCCTTGCCAGGTACTAAACTAGCATGGTGGCAAAGACACAATCCTGCCTTCAAGAATCTTGTAAGTCTAATGGCAGAAACCCTCCGGAGAAGAACATTTGACTGTCCAGCCTTCTGGTAGTGGCCACTAAACTGAAATCAAATCTTTAGCCAGGTAGGTAAGGATCCAAGTATGCAAAGGGCTAGGTGAGAGAGGGTAGGATTTTGGGGCAAAATTCTACTCTGCTGGCCACCAGGCAAGGTTGTTGGCATCATAGTTGTGGTTATCATTAGCAAAGCTTAGAGAGTGGGTTGCTCAGTCTCCTAGGCTCCAACTTCCTGACACACAAATAAACCATCGTCTTTTCGATTGCAGCAGTATTATTGTCACAGAGCTGCAGAACTATAACTTCTGGGGATTGGGTCCAAGGTGTCCATTACAATGGTCAATTGTAAGGAAGGGGTCTTCCTAAGCTGTCTCTCTCTGGTCTTGTCATGGCTCCCACAGGACTTCACCATGACCCTGTACCTGCGGCATTACTGGAAGGATGAGAGGCTGGCTTTCCCCAGCACCAGCAATAAGAGCATGACCTTCGACGGCCGGCTGGTGAAGAAGATCTGGGTCCCTGATATCTTCTTTGTTCACTCCAAAAGGTCATTCACCCATGATACTACCACTGACAATATCATGTTAAGGGTGTTCCCAGATGGTCACGTGCTGTACAGCATGAGGTAACTATACATAGGGTCATTGTTTCTTTGTCCAATGCTATTTCAATATGAGTGAGCAGACCACCCTCTGGCTCTGAAGCGTCTGTCATTATGATTAGGTCTGTGGGCCACATGGGATAATATGAACCTTCTGATGCCAGCCTGGGTAGGTGGTGACTTCCTTGTCATTGGAGCAACATAAGCTTGGGTTAGAAAACTACTTGATCCTGAATTAGTTGATGGAGACAATGACCTTCTATGTACCTTCTACCTGTGAGAGAGCTAATGAACCTTTCACATTATTACACTACTATGAGCCTTGCCAGGTAATAAAGACTGAAAAAATAATAACAATTGCTATTATTTATTGAATACTGCTGAAGATTGACTTCCGAGCTAACTTGAGTGATTTATACAGTCTTCTCTACATCTTCCTGGCCTGCTTCCAGGTTTCATTAAAATTAAACACTAAAAACAGACACTTACTGGCCTTGGGTAGAGGGTATGAATCCTGCCAAGTATCTCATGGTACCTCAGGAGAAGGGTGCAGGTGTGTGCCATTAACAAGCAACACCCAGAATGGCTGGGGGATGCATGCACCAGCGTAGTAAAGGGAATGCGAGGATACCACCAGCAGTATCTGCTACTGAAGACAAAACTC